GTACACTCACAGCTGTATCTATGTTTACACTAAAATGTATTAATTTATGGCAAAGAGTAAATTTTTTTTATATTTTGGTTTACAACCACTTTAAAGTTAACATTATTTCATTGCTCCTTCAATTTTTGCCTATATTGCATTGCACAATGACCAAAACTGTGTATGCAGTGAAGTCATCTCAGTTCTGTCCTTGTACAACAAGTATATGCTGTTTTAGTACTGTGCTGAGTTAAGATATACTGGGACACTTATGACTTACATTGATATTTAATAAAAGTACACTTCCTGTCTGGCGAGCAAATTAACAGTATGCGCCAATTTATATATGTCTGACTTCAGGAATGAAGAGTATAGGGTTATGTCTGCTCATTCTTTGCTCATGATTAGAGATAAACATTACAACTGATAAGACCATCCAGCCAGCTACATCTTTTGTGATACCACTGCCAGGTTTCTCAAGTCAGTTGACAAAAGAATTCATTCTTCACACACAAGGAGATAGGTAAAAATGATTGCACTGAAAAGAACCAAATCTATTTTGAAGTTGTGGCTTGTGTGTGGCCAACTTTGGACAATGGGACAATGTTTTACTAAAGAAGTGGAGGGTGAGGTGAAAGATGGGATGCTAGTTTGCTTTTGTATGTAGTTAGAAAATATTCATACAGAATCCAAATATAGTTTAGGCATATTGCACAAAGCTAAACTAAAAGTATAAAACAAATGTACATTATGCATTCCTAGCATGCAAATCAGCAGATATCAAATGGAAATGAGAAAAGATGATCTATAGATTACAAAATTGACTTTTTTAAGGATTTCATAAAAGGTACTTTTAGCAGAGAAAATATACTTTCAAAACTTTTGGATATATCATCTGCACACATCTGGAAATCAATACATTCTTCAGTGAAGCAGATCCAATTATGTAGAGTGATTCTATACAGTTCACATAAATGTTGCTATGCCGTTTAAAACAGTCACCATAATTTACTCCAACTTGGAACCAAGTTATTGGTGAGAAAATTGATCTGCAATTATGGCACCTAAATTAATATGACCTGCCAAGGATTCTCTAGTTTGCATAGAGGATTTGTGAGAAAATAGTAGAGGTATTTTAATGGTATTTTTAGATTTCCATGAAATATTACAGTAGCTTGAACAAAGAAAAGAACTCCTTTTGTCAGAGATGACTGGGAGTTTTTTACCAAATTTCTATTTCTGTAATATTTGTATTATATATTTCACAGAAAAGCAGGCAGCGAGAACCCTAAGGGCACCATCATCCCATAATATGTAAATACACAAAATTGAGAAAAGTGGGATTTTAGAGGTGCTAATACATTATTCAAAACTAATATATAAAAACAGCATATTTTTATTTAGACAATATTCATAAAAAACATTTTAAAAAAGAAACAAAATCCATCAAAACCAACTGAATTCCAGTAGTTGGCTCCATACAAATCTCTTTAAATAACAGCTTCAAATAGTGGCCTTGACGTGTTTTGCTTCATCAGAAGGAACGTTACTGAAGCAAACACCAGAAGATCACCCCCCCCCCCCCCACACACACAGTGACAAAAACCATAAGGGGATGTGGATGATGATTTGGGGAACAACCAACTAGAACTAGAAATTGTGTTTAAAATATACCCAGGGCGGTATATGGTAGACCGTAAGAGAGGCTAAAGTACCAAATTAATGGATATTAGGGTAATCGTTACTGGTACATAACCACAAGAGGGCACCATCACTTGGCACACCAGCCTTGGTTACTGGAGTTACATATCAAGTTGGTTACAAGGTTCTTGGGTTGATTTACTAAAACTGATTGGTTTCTATGCAGAGCTGCTCCAGATTTTGCACTCTCCAGTTTTAGTAAATCAGCTCCTGTGTGTCGAACTGGTGAAGGCATCCTTGTGCTCCTTTTGGTCAGAGATGAATGAAAATTTTGTAACCAATTTCTCTTTCTGTAGTTTGTATTTATATACCATAAGATCTGACTGTTCAGTGTGTACTAAAGCAAAAAAAAAAAAAAAAATGCATAGTGAGCATTCATTTTAATAATACTCAAAGGGCAAAGTTTATAAATGGAAAATTCCTTTAACCACATCAGCACCAGAACAGTTACAAATTTTTTGCAGACATGTAAAAATACATTTTTTGGCAAACAAATTACGTAGCCTCCCTAGTGGTCTGTCCATATTTCTGTGCTCAAAGCGGTACATTTTTTTGCATGGAAATATGTATTTTTTTTATTGTAGGCCTGTAATTTTTAGGAATAACTCACTGAAATCTGTCCGAACAAGAGTCTAGTAAACATCCCGGGTATGTTAAAATTTGAAACACGAAATCATAAATTATAATTTAATAAATAAACATAAAAAATAATAATATAATGATAATACATTTAATTAAATAATATAACCAAACCAAAAACACTGAAATTTTAAATGTAGTGCCAAGTTCACACATCGCTGAGCAAAGTCGCAAAATCGTTTTCAGTGTCTGATGACGAATTTCCCCACGAATCATTATCACTCAATTCTGCAAGTGGTTCTGATTTACTATCGCTGTTTTCTAGCTGGTCTAAAACCGCTTTTGACCTAAAAGGACGCTTTTTGGACGCCATGGACATTTCTCATTTTCCAGGCAGAAAGAACAGTAAAAATGCAGGCAGGGCACAGGACAAAGCACTGAGGACAAAATGTATGTGAAATACTTTGATACAGTAATGTTTTACTATGTGATTTTAGTGAATTTAGTGAATGTCACTTTTATAACTTTCAAATTTCCCGCCAGTTCCGTCCCTCATATGTCCGACGTCGCAGGGAACGGAAACCAGATGACAGATGCCGGCATCCGCCGGAGGACATTGCAGGGGACACTGCAGGAGGGACATCGCGGGAGCGCAGGACAAGGTAAGTCAAGAAGAGATCTCGGAGCAGCGCTGTAGGGTATTCCCGAGTGTAGCTTGGGGTTACCGCTTGTGGTGCTGAAACTCCAGCTCTGTAGAAAAAAAGATAGCAGTTGCAATTTTTTTTATGCTGCATGATACTTGTTCAACTGTTTATCAAATGCATATTTTCAGGAAAAAATATATTAAATTAATTTTATTGCAAACACACACAATATAATAACCATGAGGTTGCCCAAGTAAATTTTTTAATTTTTCTGTTTTATTATTTGACATGCTTCGCCCTTCTATGTGCTCCTTGCTGTGAAGGCCAGATTGGGGAAGTTGCCATTTTTTGTACTGTTGATATGCTGGTGAGGGGGCTCACTGGACACCCTAGCTGCCATTGTGTTATATGCTGGGTGTCCAGTGCGCCCCTGCACCTTTAAAGAGGGGTGAGCTCCCTCAGGCTCACCTGCCCTCAGTGTACCCATTTATACATGTGATTCTACCATGGAGGCTCTCAAAATTTGTAGAGTTAGGAACTGCAGAATATTGGGGTGCCATGAAGGGGCTCTGCAGCTTATGCATGTATTTTCAAATGTGTACTAACTAAACCCTTGTTGTTAACGCAAACTGTTAGACAGGACAATTTGGTTTGTTCGCAAGCTGGTCGGTAAGTTGAGCTGGGAATTTTCTCCTTTTATTATTTGACACGCGTCGCCCTTCCATGTGATCCTTGCTGTGAAGGCCAGTTATAATTTGAGGCAGTGGGCATTTTCTTTGTCAGTTTTTTGTACTGTAGATACCAAACATGCCAAGTCTGCAAGTGCCCATGATATCACAAAAAAAACTACTACACTCAAAAATCTCCATAGGTGATGTTATAAAAGCCTTTACTGTTCACCAGTTTAGAGTCAACCATTAGTTCTGGCACTAGAATTATTGCTCTCTCTCACATGATCGCGGTTTACATACAAGTTCGTATCCTTGGCTTGCTTTTCCATTTGCAGGGCAACAGGGGTTAAGTTTACATTTTTTAATACATTTTATTATAATTTAATTTTTTAAAATGTAACTTTATTGCTATTACATAGGGATTAACAAACCCCCATGTGATAGCACTGCACAGGTGACAGGTACACTTCGTGGAGACATTTGGGGGTTTATTTACTAAAGCTGGAGAGTCCAAAATCAGACTCCCTTCTGCATAGAAACCAATCAGCTTCTAACCTCAGCTTGTTCAATGAAGCTTTGGCAATGAAACCTGGAAGCTGATTGGTTTCTATGCAGAAGGGAGTCTGATTTTGGACTCTCCAGCTTTAGTAAATAAACCCCTAGGTGTCTAATAGGCCTCAATGTCTCCCCTGCCCTCCAAAGCATCTAACTGAGCAGAGATGTGCTTGTGTAGATGCTCCTCTTGCTTTTCCAGCCAGGGAATGGAGGCTCTGAAATAGGAAGAGAGACAAAATCCTGGTTGCTTCCAGTTTCCTACAGTTCTCCCACTCAGCATCCTCAAGTGGGTGGATGTAGTCCTGACCTCCCAGTAGGAGCAGGAGAGCTGCCTGCGGCAGGGTACTCTGTACTGCCCACACAGTGAAAGTGATGGGCAGCTATAGAGAACTTTCATTTTCAAGCCGGGAGCCAGCTGAAGAGACACAGCAGAAGCTAGTGGCTGCTATTTCAGCCATCAGCTTGTGCTTAACCCTAAGTTCTTTGAATATACTATGTACATCCAAAGAGCTGAACTAGTTAAATAACATGCCTGCGGGTTACTCCTTATCTACCTGTGAAAGTTACAACCTACAACAGCAAAACTGACATTTACAAAGAAAAAATTGCATTTTAAATTGTCGATCAATGACAGCTCCCGGCTTCTTACTTCTGAATGTTAACAAAGCAGCTGGGGATTCCATTCATCTATACCAGACCCTTATCCCAGATGATCAGCTCTTGTGGTGTCTCTTGTGGTATGAGTTACCGTATTTTTTCCATAAACGCACTTTTTTTCCCCCCAAAAAGGGGGGGGGAAATGTCAGTGCGTCTTATGGAGCGAATATAAAGCGGCCGGACCGATATTTCTGCCGCCACCATGTCAGAATACCGGGCCGGACGCTCAGCTGTTGTCTCCTGCAGGGCCTTACCTGTTCCTCGCTCCAGTGCTGCACAGTCTTCCCGCGCTGGCTTCTGTGACAGCCGGGTGCCCACTGGTCATGCGCTTCGCTTTGTGAATGGTCATCGCAGTCTCTGGTCATCTGTACTGTGTCCGCAGTCTACTGTGTCAGTCTCTGGTCATCTCCTGTACTGTGTCTGCAGTCTCTGGTCATCTCCTGTACTGTGTCTGCAGTCTCTGATCATCTCCTGTACTGTGTCCGCAGTCTCTGGTCATCTCCTGTACTGTGTCCGCAGTCTCTGGTCATCTCCTGCACTGTGTCCGCAGTCTCTGGTCATCTCCTGTACTGTGTCCGCAGTCTCTGGTCATCTCCTGTACTGTGTCCGCAGTCTCTGGTCATCTCCTGTACTGTGTCCGCAGTCTCTGGTCATCTCCTGTACTGTGTCCGCAGTCTCTGGTCATCCCCTGTACTGTGTCCGCAGTCTCTGGTCATCTCCTGTACTGTGTCCGCAGTCTCTGGTCATCTCCTGTACTGTGTCCGCAGTCTCTGGTCATCTCCTGTACTGTGTCCGCAGTCTCTGGTCATCCCCTGTACTGTGTCCGCAGTCTCTGGTCATCTCCTGTACTGTGTCCGCAGTCTCTGGTCATCTCCTGTACTGTGTCCGCAGTCTCTGGTCATCTCCTGTAGTATGTCCGCAGTCTCTGGTCATCTCCTGTACTGTGTCTGCAGTCTCTGGTCATCTCCTGTACTGTGTCCGCAGTCTCTGGCCATATCATGTACTGTGTCTGCAGTCTCTGGCCATCTCCTTTACTGTCCGCAGTCTCTGGCCATCTCCTGTACTATGTCCGCAGTCTCTGACCGTCTCCTGTACTGTGTCCGCAGTCTCTGGCCATCTCCTGTACTATGTCCGCAGTCTCTGGCCATCTCCTGTACTATATCCGCAGTCTCTGGTCATCCCCTGTACTGTGTCCTCAGTCTCTGGTCATCTCCTGTACTGTGTCCGCAGTCTCTGGTCATCTCCTGTACTATGTCTGCAGTCCATTGGTTCAGAATTTTTTTTTTCCTGTTTTTCGCCTCTAAAACCTAGGTGCGTCTTATGGTCAGGTGCGTCTTATGGAGCGAAAAATATGGTAAATGGCTGAACAACAGTGTCTGGTAGGACTGAGAACTCATCCCTAGTCCTGACAGGCACCTCTGTGGCTCAGAGAACAGATAGTTCCTAGGCACTCTTAAATGTAGGGAGGTGCTCTGCTTCTTCTAATTAAGAATTTTATGCAAAGGTACATGTTTCCTGATTGCTTTGTCACATTAAACTGTGATACTGAATCCCTAATATACAGCTAGTATTTAGATTTTAAATATAGATCTGCTTTATGACTACAATAAATAAAATAAAATAAAAGGATTAACAGAAGGTACTGGAGCAGCTACCAACATATACAAACCAGGAGAACAGCAAGACTCCTTCTGTAGCTGAGCATAGACTATCCCCATTTCACTAAAGTAATATTTCATAGGTGTCCACCTCCTTCCTAAGACCTGCTATGTGCTCTGGAGGGACATAGGTGGATCCCCTACCGAGCACTGTTGACATACTTCTGCGCCTCCAGCACAGTTTTTCCCCCCTCCCACTACCAGCTCTGCATATACAGGTGAAACTCGAAAAATTAGACTATCGTGCAAAAGTTCATTTATTTCAGTAATGCAACTTAAAAGGTGAAACTAATATATGAGATAGACTCATTACATGCAAAGCAAGATAGTTCAAGCCATGATTTGTTATAATTGTGATGATAATGGCTTACAGCTCATGAAAACCCCAAATCCACAATCTCAGAAAATTAGAATATTGTAAAAAGGTGCAATATTCTAGGCTCAAAGTGTCCCACTCTAATCAGCTAATTAAGCCATAACACCTGCAAAGGTGAGCCTGAGCCTTTAAATGGTCTCTCAGTCTGGTTCAGTAGGAATCACAATCATGGGAAAGACTGCTGACCTGACAGTTGTGCAGAAAACCATTATTGACACCCTCCATAAGGAGGGAAAGCCTCAAAAGGTAATTGCAAAAGAAGTTGGATGTTCCCAAAGTGCTGTATCAAAGCACATTAATAGAAAGTTATGTGGAAGGGAAAAGTGTAGAAGAAAAAGGTGCCAACCTGCAGCAGGGATGACCGCAGCCTGGAGAGAATTGTCAGGAAAAGGCCATTCAAAAGTGTTGGGGACTTTCACAAGGAGTGGACTGAGGCTGGAGTCAGTGCATCCAGAGCCACCACACACAGATGGATCCTGGACATGGGCTTCAAATGTCGTATTCCTCTTGTCAAAAAAACCGCTCCTGAACAACAAACCACGCCAGAATCATCTTACCTGGGCTAAAGAAAAACAGACCTGGTCTGTTGCTCAGTGGTCCAAAGTCCTCTTTTCTGATGAGAGCAACTTTTGCATCTCATTTGGAAACCAAGGACCCAGAGTATGGAGGAAGAATGGAGAGGCACACACTGCAAGATGCTTGACGTCCAGTGTGAAGTTTCCACAGTCTCTGTTGATTTGGGGAGCCACGTCATCTGCTGGTGTTGGTCCACTGTGCTTCATTAAGTCCAGGTTCAATGCAGCCGTCTACCAGGAGATTTTGGAGCACTTCATGCTTCCTTCCGCAGACGAGCTTTATGGGGATGCTGACTTCATTTTCCAACAGGACTTGGCACCTGCCCACACTGCCAAAAGCACCAAAACCTGGTTCAATGACCGTGGGATTACTGTGCTTGATTGGCCAGCAAACCTGCCTGATCTGAATCCCATTGAGAATCTATGGGGCATTGCCAAGAGAAAGATGAGAGACATGAGACCGAACAATGCAGAAGAGCTGAAGGCCGCTATTGAAGCATCCTGGTCTTCCATAACACCTCAGCAGTGCCACAGGCTGATAGCTTCCATGCCATGCCGCATTGAGGCAGTAATTGCTGCAAAAGGGGCCCAAACCAAGTACTGAGTACATATGCATGCTTATACTTTTCAGAGGTCTGATATTGTTCTATGTACAATCCTTGTTTATTGATTGCATGTAATATTCTAATTTTCTGAGATTGTGGATTTGGGGTTTTTGTGAGCTTGCTTTCGTTATCTTGCTTTGCATGTAATGAGTCTATCTCATATATTAGTTTCACCTTTTAAGTTGCATTACTGAAATAAATGAACTGTTGCACGATATTCTAATTTTTCCAAGTTTCACCTGTACATCTCCCATCAGCAAAATATATATCCCCTCTCCCACCACCAGAATGGTACATTTGCCTCTCTGCCAGCACCCACCTTCCACCCCAGCACCAGCACAGTATGCACCCCCGCTCACCGCAATGTACACAACATATATAGCCCTCACCTTCCACAGTAATATATGCACACACCTCTCCAACCACTCATAGCCCATACTGATCCTACAGTATAAATGCTGACTCCAATCTCCTAATGTTCCTGTGCCTTTTCTTCTCCAGGACATAACATTGCACATAATGCTTTAGTGCCAAAAAGTACACTTGATCAATTCAATCCCCATTCAGAGTATGTACCAAGTAGCACATATCCAGATACTAGAGGAATATGTGTGCAGGCAGGTGCAGTTTAGTTTCTCCACTGCAGGTGGTGCTCGATAGAGAAATCAAGAGAAAGTTATTTTGTCTTTGATTCCTTGGGTTACCTGGAGCAGCGTTCCAGTTGGCTATGCTGCATCCAGGTGACTCTGGTGGCCATCTTGGGTCATGCAGAGTCTTTTTAAGTCCCTGCCCTCAGGTTTTGGTGCACAACTGCGAAGTGACTAGTGTAGCATAGCATAGATAGCATCCCCGTCAGTCAGGGACAGTACTAGTGGTAGGGAAAGGTTCCGGAGAAGTAGGAACAGCTTCGGGACATCTTCTGCACCTCAGCAAACTCCCTTTTGGTTTGGACTAGCCAGGCTGCATTCCCTGCTTTCCAACCCCCTTGGCAAGCTATGTCTTTGATTCAGGCCTACTAACGCTGACTCTCTGCTGCTTTAACTTAAAGTTCCTGGTTGGGTGGGCTCCTCCGCTGGGTTATTGTACTGTTTGCAAGTTCTTCAATACATTGGTCACTGCACTGCGGGCTTCTGTATGTTTACTAACGGTGCACTTACTGAACATGAACTTTACAATTGAATGTGGGTGAAGCACACAGAGTGCTGTGGTGTAATGCCACTGCAGCAATACAGGCTATCTATATTTCTATTCCACTGCTGCTGTGTTATACAAGTGTTAGCTTGGATTATTTTTCAGACACTGATAGTGGGGGTCCCTGGACTGGCAGACCCAGAGCAGCTGCCTATTTTTTTTTGTGGACAAACTTGCCTTGATGCTATGTATAATGTACACCTTGTTATACCTTTTATTTCAGTTCTATTGTTTTGATACACAGACATTTTGACGTCCAAATATTTACATTTGTGCACCTCCAGGGGCGGACTGAAAACTCATGGGGCCGCCGGGCAATAGGGGATCATGGGGTTCCTGTGTCCTTGCACAAACTCAAAAAAGCCTATGAAAAAGGTACCAGGTACATCTCATGGGGCCCCCTACTGACCCCGGGCCCTCGGGCAGTGCCCGAGTTTCCAAATGGTCAGTCCGCCCCTGTGCACCTCTACTACTTGTAGAGAACCTTGTTTGAAATAGAGTCATCTACGTTTCTGTACAATGTAAGAGACAAGCAGACTAATAAAACGATTGCTTACTGCCAGAGTAAAAAACATTTTTTGCAATGTACATTTGATGCATACAACTTTCTGTTTAGAGCTGAACTCCAAGATCTTGATTCATTGTCCTAATTCTCGTTTCCCATGTACATGAAAACTTTATACACGCATTGCACTTCCGCCTGGCAGTACTAGGGTCATCAGTTCGAATCCCAACCATGGCACCACCTGCCTGGAGTTTGTATGTTCTCCATGTGCCTGTGTAGGTTTCTTTCTGGTACTCTGGTTTCCTTCCACACTCAAAAGATATGCTGGTAGGTTCATTAGCTCTTGTCTAAAATTGGCCCTAGTATGTGTATGTATGAATGTGAGTTAGGTACCTTAATTTGTACATTCCTTGAGGGTTAGGGACTGATGTGAATATACAATATATATATGTAAAGCGCTGCATAAATTGATGGTGCTTTAAAAGTACCTGTACTAAATAGTAATACACAATCGACATGTAATAATAAATACTTTAAATGTTTCGGGGATTTGTTAGAAATCTACGTTTCGGGTGCCAGCTGGAGAATCTGTGCAAACACTGCATTATAGGAGTGCTCTGA